AGGAAGTGGGAGGGGAGCTGCTGCATTGTAAATTTTGGTCAATGACATGAGACAAAGTATATGTGAACTGCTGTATGAAAAGTGAATTTACTCTCTAAATCTTCACCCAAATCCTAAAAAAAAAAAACTCTAGTGGCCTGATTTCTCTCTCCCAGCACTGAACCTTTCATCTAATTTCATCTAATTCTTTTTTAGGGTTTCAGACTAGGTTGTTACTAACATCTTTTGCACCCTTACATAAAAATGGCAGTCAACAAGTATATAGAAGACCTGAACCACACCATCAACCATCTGATGTAGTTGAAATTTATTGAACTTGCTACCGAGCAATATTGTATGATACATTATTTCTAAAAAGAAAAGCTGAAAACAACAACCATATCCTTACATCATGTTGATTCCAACTCATAGCAATACCCGTATCGTTTCCAAATCCGAAAATCTGCCTTATCATCCTTGCATGGAGGTGATGATGAGTTCCAAAGACCAACCTTGTGGTTAGCAGCCAAATCCTTAACCGCTATACCACTGTTGTTGTTGTTGTCATGTGCCGTCGACTCAGACCCTACTCATAGCGACCCCTCCTTGGGTTTCCGAGGCAGTATTACTACGGAAGTAGATTGCCCCATCTTCCTTCCGAGGAGTGGCTTTTGGGTTTGAACTGCCAATCTTCTGGTTAGCGGTCATGTGCCTTAGCCACTATGCTACCAGAGCTCCCACTACACCACTAGAGCTGCTTTTTTCTACATATGCATTAAATTATCCTCAAGATAGACTTTATGCTGGGTTCTTATACATACTAACAACAGAATAAAGTGAATAGATAAATTGCATAGAAAAACTGGTGTCATCCATTTAAGAAAATATAGCAACAACCACAAGACAAATTACCATTGTGTGCAACAACATTGATAAAATATCACAGAAATTATGTTAACTAGATGACTTCCATAGAGATACCACCTCAGAACCCCTACCAGGGGTCTCTATGAGTTGGTTTTGACTCCACGATAATGATTTTTTTTTTTTTTTAGATGAAGTCACACTCAATAGAATTCATATGTTTCTATTCTCCTCGTATGAAGCCCAAGAATGGCTAAATCTTGTCTGTGACAACAATCAAAACACTGTTTACCCCATGGGTGAATGTGAACTGAGACATGGCAAGATGGAATCATCTTCTGTGCTTGAAAATTTCTCTAATTCGATCTCAGAGGGCATAAGAGTGTAATAGGAGGAGACCTCCAATCTGAGTTCCTCGCCAGCACAGAGAATCCAACCTCTGGACATATACCTTTGAGAAAGAGAATGTAGCTTTATTTACGTAGGACCCTGTTAGCACAGTAGGTAAAGTATTTTGTTGCCAACCAAAAGACCGGAGGTTCAACTCCACCAGCTGCTCCATAGGAAGAAGATGATGCAATCTACTTTCATAAAGATTTACAGCCTTTGAAACTCTAGGACTTCCTATGAGTCTCTCATGGATGGCAGCGGGTAGATAAAGATCCAATAGGAAGAGGAAATCTCAAATCTGACACCCCCAATGGAGTGCACAACACTGATTTGAAAGGGAATGAAAAAGGAAGTTATACATACTCATTTAAGTTCTGGGCAATTTCATACATAGGGATTTCATGGTGGTGCAGGTGGAAATGGCATGGTCATACAGCATGTTTAAAAAAATGGTGGTCTTAGCAAGTTCTCTGGGAGTGTTTTCCCAGTAGTAGATCATTGTGAGGACAAGGCTACGGCTCTCCGTTCATGTTCTGTGAGCCAAATCTGATAGAAACATTTTTTACTTATTTCTAGCTTCCAATTGCTGGTTTAGAAAAAAACACACTGCCAAAGAGTCGGATCCCACACATAGTGACCCATCCTTTGGTTCTTGAAGCAGTGTCACTACAGAAGTAGATTTCTCAATTTTCCTTCCGTCTGGTTAGCAGTCAAATGCCTCAGGCACTAGGCCACCAGAGGCCCAAAATGAAGTTTCCAGTACTTTGGAAAGATACGGAAGGCAAAAACCAAGTTAAAAGAGTGTGTATCCAAATAGTGCTTGTACAGTTAATATTAGAACACGTCATGAACTTTATTGTATGTGTATATATATGAGAGAAAAGTAGAAACTATTTATTGTCCACATTTTCAGAGGTACTTCATCCTTTACCTCCTGGCCCTGACAATGAGTGGTGTCTTTCTGCTTCTCACCTTGGAAAACTCTCTGAAGGGTCTTCAGCCCTTAGAGAGATCAGACTGGATTTGCATAGTCTGTGTCCTGCTTCTAGGCAGAGACAACTAATCTGCAGGAGACAACAAACTAGGAAATACAGGTCAAATGACAGATTAAACAATCCTAAAGTGCAGAAATACTCAGAGAACAAAGAAATTATTATTTCATTTTAAAAAAAGGTAAATTTTGTCACACAGCCAAATAGGCAGTTACCAACTTCCTCGACTCCCCGAGGGCGTCTCAGATTACTGAAATCCACTTTTCCCTTCATAAACGGATTGAAGAACCCCTCTGTAGAGAGGATCTAAGCATTGTTGTCAGAGTACCACACCTACACTGGATCCACTCAACTCCAAGGTGAAGAACGCGAGCAGTTGCTGTTTCCCCCAGGCACCCTCCTCTGTTGCACCAAGCCTCCAGACACCGGAAGCGGAAGTCCGTCCTTGGCGAGGACAGCAGCTACTTGGTTCCTGCTTTTGCTGTCTCTCGGCGGCCTCAGACGCTTCCTGGACGCCGAGCAGCGAGGATGGACTTGCATCGCTCGGGCGCGGGAACAGGTAACTTGGCGGGGCTCCTTGCGTGTCCGTGGACAGGGGTCTAGGAAGGGCCCGTGTGTGACTCAGGCAGGGTCCCTTCGGTTCTTCCCTCAGGGGCGAGTTCCCGACCACAATTTCCTACCGGAAACGGCTCCTCTTTGTTTTCTGGGCCCTTTCAGGAGGGACTCTGTTGAGCGCTGCTGGTCGTTCCCAAATGGAGGGTCAGGTGAGGAGGCCGTCCCCGTCCGGTACCGGTGACAGGTGTTTATTGGAGCTTACATTCTGAAGCCCTTGGGTTGTGCAGGGCTGTGCTCAGTAGTCGGGAGCCTAATTCCATTTGAAATGTTGACTTGAGATTCCCTTTGTTTTCGATCTTATATAATTACCCCGGGGCCGTGACTCCACGGACCCCGTTCAGCTTTCTGTGCTGATACCTGCGGCTGGTCTCCCTCCTCCTGGGTGTCTGGCTGTGTCCCGTCCACGGATGAATAAAAGGGTTTCTGTGGAACCTGTTTGAGTCTGCGTCTCTTTTTCCCCTACTGCAGTGTTTAAGGCAGATGAAGAGTTAAGAAACAGGCGTCAGAGCTACTATACATTAAAGAGTCTGTTTATTCCATTGTGGGGAGGAAACCATTCAGTCCAAGGCACGTTTGGAGGCTGTAAGCCAGATCTTTTCATCAAGGTCGTGTGAGGAACAGTTCGGCCAGTCCGAGTTGGTCTGATATGGAGTGTGACGTTGCTGAACGGTTTTACTCCAGGCCGGGAGGGGTGCATGGAGCTCAGACCCCCAGTGTGTGTGTCCGTGCTGCAGTGGACGTGGGGAAGTTAACCACAGTCTGTGTCACCAAAGAACCACACTTTGTAAAAATGTGAAGGCTTCTTGGAGCACAAACTGTGCATATTCTCAGTGTGAGAACACTGAAAGTTTGGAATGAGGCCAAAATGGAAGCCTGTGGGATGGAAGTAGTCAAAACGTTTAAGTGAGGAATCAAAAACTTAGTTTTGTTTTGCTAGGTGCTGACAGGACTGATAGGGTGTGGTGTGGTTGAGAGTGGAAAGAGGATTTAAGTTGGGGAAACTCAGTGTGTAAACCCCAGAGGAGCAGACAGCCCAGTCTCCTCCTTCCTTTGATGAAATGCCCTGGTTATGGAAGCAGAGAAGCACAGTGTGGGTGGGGGTGTCTCTGTGAGGCACACTGCTGGAGACAGTGGTGCAGGATGTTTACAACTGTACTGACCACTCTGGGCTTGGTGAGGCCCCTGCATAGTCTCTGACAGGTGTTAAGCAGCTCTTGTCAAACAAATAGAATTTGGAAATTGGATATGACCAGTAAAAGTTGTTGTTGTTGTTTAACTTTTTATTGTGATTTGAGTGAAGCTTTACAGTGCAAATTCATTTCCCATACAGCAGTTCATAGACATTTTGTTTCATGAAAATGACCGAAATTCCCCACAATGTGACAGCTCTCCTCCCTTTCCTTCCTTAGTTAATGTATTTAATGTGTTCTTTCCTGTGCATTCCAGCCCCCTCCCACCTGCACCCCAAGATTGATTGCTCCAAAGCGTGTATTTACCTGATGTAAAGGTTCACCCCATATGCCTGTTTTTTGTGTGGGAAGCACAGGAATACATTCATTTCCACACGTGAGGGGTAGCTAGGGATAGCAGTCTCGCCAGCTTTTAGCAGAGCAGCAAACCTGGTCTTTTTGTTATGATTTTATGTTTTGTTCTACAATATTCTCCCAATCTATCCAGGATCTCCTGCACTGATCTGCTCTGGACGAGGAGAGAACTGTTGTTGCATCCAGATGACTGGTCACAAGTTTTTTTTTTTTTTTTTATTAGGATTTGGATGAAGATTTACAGAGTAAATTCACTTTTCATACAGCAGTTCACATATACTTTGTCTCATGTCATTGACCAAAATTTACAATGCAGCAGCTCCCCTCCCACTTCCTCCCCATAGTTACCTCCTCCCAGTGTCCATCCCTTCATACTCTTCTGCACCCTGAGAGGCCCATTGTCTGCCAACCCTGTATATGATCTTGGATACACTCTCCATTTAGACATACATAATTGTTTAGCTTGTTCACCCATCTATCCGTCCCTATACCCATGTTTGCTTTCATTGACAACTCAGTATTGTATTTACAAAGGGGTTCATATTTGTTGTCTGTACTGCCCATGTAACTCTCTCTGTCTTTCTCATCCTCAATGCTGCCATATTGGTCACTCACATTTGGTACATTGCCCTTCTCTTCACCCAAATCAATATTTATCTCTATCTATCTAACAGCATTCCCTCCCCTTCCCTCCCACCCCTGGTAACCAACAAAGAAAATGTCCTCCAATATATAAACCTTTCCTTAACTTTCACAATAACGGACTAATACAATATTTGTCCTTTTGTGGTCACAAGTTTTTAAGACCCTCGTCTCTACTCACCAAAGTAGGACATAGAACAAAGTTTTTGTGTAGTGTGTTATGCCAGTTGAGCTTGATGTGCCCTGGGACATGGTCCTGAGCCCACAGGTCCAAATTTTCACTTCCTCAGAGTAGCTGGCGGGGGCCTGGAAGCTACTAAAATCTTGCCCCTTGTCAGCTTTACTGTACACCCAGACTATATTACAGCACATACAAGTGGTCTTGGACACACTCCTCCCCTGCCTAGTCATACCTGATCATTCAGCCTGTGGACAGATTTTTTGTCTGTTTCATTTTATTGTGTTTGGGGTGAAAGTTTACAAACTAAATTCATCTTCCATACAGCAGTTCTCATACAGTTGTCTCATGACATTGACTGTAATCTCCCACAGTGCCACAGCTCTCTTCCCACTTCCTCCCTGTAGCCACCTCTTCCCTGTGTCCTTTCCTCCTGTGCACTCCTGCTCCCCGGGTTGTCTCCTTGCGCATACACGGCCCTTGTATTCTCCCATGATTGATCTTCAAGGAGTGTATCTACCTAATGTAAATGTTGAGCTCATATGCCTGTCTTTTATTTGGCTGGAGCCACAGGAGTGGGTTCAATTCCAGACTTGAAGGGCAACTAGGGGCCATAGTTGCAGGGGTTCCACCAGGCTCTATCAGACCAGCAAACCTAGGCTCTTGTTTCTCATGATTTCAATTAAGTGTGAGTACCCAATAATGAATGAATCACGTTGACTTCATGATCATCACCTGAGAAATACATTTTTCTAAATATTCCCCCATAAATAAAAAGCCGTGCTAGTGTTGGTCTATAAGGGAAAAAGTTACACAGGTGAACCTACAACTTCCACCTTTCATCCCTGACTTCCTGGAGGACGTCATCGTTGAATTTTTCATCCTGGCCAGGCCTGCTCACTTCCAGGCTCTGGGAGAAGTGAATTCCTCCATTTGTGATCTTGTTGCAGGAAGAAGGAGCCCGGGAGCTGCATGGAGAATGCAGGTGTGTGCGCTGGAGGCTGGCGCCTGTTTGCCTTCAGTGCAGATGCCCTCAGGGTGGAGCGTGGCCCTGAGCCTGGGAGGAACCCAGACACCTGTCACTCCTGCTCACTCACCACTGTCTACTCCCCATCCTTCCTCCGTTTCAGGTCTCCAGTGTGGGGCACGGAGAACTCCTTCAGTCCATGTGGCTGGGGAACTAAGGTGACCCTTCTTGCACTTCTGTAAATCCCAAGGAGGGATTTCAGTTGCTGTGACTGGTGTTTGGACCAAACATTATTCTTCACCCTCCAGACGGCCTGGTGCTCTGCTTCCATTCTGCAGTGGTTATTGGGTTTCCATGGGATATTCTTTTAAACTTCCAGAAGGTGGAGAAGACATGGTGAGTTTTGTGTCTCAGGAGAGGGTGAGGCTGGATATGAACTGTTGGGGGACCAGCTGTGTACTGTGGGACTGGTTCCTTAATGAAGAGATGAGAGAGGAGACCAAGGGATTGACTCTAGGTGAAATTGTGACAGGGACCTTTGTGTATACAAATGTGACTTTTCTAGATTTGAATTTCTGGGGTCAGCTTCCTCATGTGACTCTCTGAGTTGTCGCCATAGGACATAGTCATTACCACCCTGGGCCTTGCTGCTATATATTAAATGCCATGGTCTCCTGACAAGAGCCCAGTGACCGAGGAGCTCTGGTTGTGGTGGCTGAGACCCAGCCCTGCAGAGCCATCTTTGCCTCGTGTCTCTTAAAAGTTTCCGTGACTTTTTCTAGGCATTGGAGCATGTTCTGTGCAGTGCTAAAGTAACCACTTCCACTTCCCCTCTCACACTGTGTTATTGGTTAGATGAAACCTTTGACTGTTCATGGGGTTCCTGGTGGTCGTGTTGCTTTCCTGATGTCACTCATGGTAAGAAACTGGGGACATTGATCAAACTGGACTCTCTGTGGACTCTCCATGCCCATTTTCTTTTTCTCTCCAGCAGGGAATGATTTTGCCTCGACAGCTTCATGTTTGTGAAGTTCTCAATCCCCTGTCTAGGCCCTTGTGCACCCACCTAGGCCTAGATCTGGTATTTAATCCCTGTAATTTTTGACTGTTAACCATCGTCTTGAATAAGAATCAAGACGGTGTTGTTTTTTCCTAGAAAAGCTCAAAGTATGAGATGTTGTTGTTGTTGTTGTTATGTGCCGTCGAGTCAAACCCGACTCATAGCGACCCCTCCTTGGGTTTCCGAGGCAGTATCACTACGGAAGTAG